AAGACTGGAGGGAAGGACGGAGGTCCGATAGAAGACTGGAGGGAAGGACGGAGGTCCGATAGAAGACTGGAGGGAAGGACGGAGGTCCGATAGAAGACTGGAGGGAAGGACGGAGGTCCGATAGAAGACTGGAGGGAAGGACGGAGGTCCGATAGAAGACTGGAGGGAAGGACGGAGGTCCGATAGAAGACTGGAGGGAAGGACGGAGGTCCGATAGAAGACTGGAGGGAAGGACGGAGGTCCGATAGAAGACTGGAGGGAAGGACGGAGGTCCGATAGAAGACTGGAGGGAAGGACGGAGGTCCGATAGAAGACTGGAGGGAAGGACGGAGGTCCGATAGAAGACTGGAGGGAAGGACGGAGGTCCGATAGAAGACTGGAGGGAAGGACGGAGGTCCGATAGAAGACTGGAGGGAAGGACGGAGGTCCGATAGAAGACTGGAGGGAAGGACGGAGGTCCGATAGAAGACTGGAGGGAAGGACGGAGGTCCGATAGAAGACTGGAGGGAAGGACGGAGGTCCGATAGAAGACTGGAGGGAAGGACGGAGGTCCGATAGAAGACTGGAGGGAAGGACGGAGGTCCGATAGAAGACTGGAGGGAAGGACGGAGGTCCGATAGAAGACTGGAGGGAAGGACGGAGGTCCGATAGAAGACTGGAGGGAAGGACGGAGGTCCGATAGAAGACTGGAGGGAAGGACGGAGGTCCGATAGAAGACTGGAGGGAAGGACGGAGGTCCGATAGAAGACTGGAGGGAAGGACGGAGGTCCGATAGAAGACTGGAGGGAAGGACGGAGGTCCGATAGAAGACTGGAGGGAAGGACGGAGGTCCGATAGAAGACTGGAGGGAAGGACGGAGGTCCGATAGAAGACTGGAGGGAAGGACGGAGGTCCGATAGAAGACTGGAGGGAAGGACGGAGGTCCGATAGAAGACTGGAGGGAAGGACGGAGGTCCGATAGAAGACTGGAGGGAAGGACGGAGGTCCGATAGAAGACTGGAGGGAAGGACGGAGGTCACAATTATAGAGAAGTCTCGGCTGCTGGTGACCTCTGACCTCTTTGTGGATTGGACGGTCTCTCTCTGATGTGATTTTGTTTCCTTCCTGTAAAGAAATCTCGGTGTCGAATGGTCCGGAGCCGGTGCCGGAGGAGACGTCGGAGGTGAACCACGAAGACCAGGCAGAGGGCAGCGATGAGGAGTGGGAGCGGGTGGGGCCGCGCAACAAGAGCGCAGTGACCAGACAAGCCGACTTTGTCCAGACGGCCGTCACGGATATCTTTGGAGGACACATGCGGTGAGTCTGGTGGGGGATGGGTTAGGGTGCTTTGGCTGGGTGAGGGGGGAGGGCTGTTGAATTACTTTTTGGCTCCGCAGTGGGGCGGCTGCTTACTTTGCACTTGGGGCCCCCAATGCGTGGCCCTTTCCTTCGCCCATGTGTTGCAATTTGATGTTCTCAGTAATAAGTGTATTTTTTAACCTCTTTGATCAACTTGTGGTTTGTTAAACTTGGAGTGCCTGCAGCACTGAGCGTTTACACTGCCCCCCCCAGGGCAAACTGTGCCTCCTTGTACCCACCGTCCCCCCCTCCCGGCATCATACTGCCCTACCCATGCTTCATCACTGCTGCAGCAGGCCACCCAGGCAAGCACAGGGGAGGAACATGCAAACTCCATGCAGAACCAGGGACCCTTGCAAGGCAGAAGTGCTCACCACCAAGGCACCGTGCTGCCCCAAACCCAATGCAGTTGGTAGTCATTGAATCTGGGATCCCGGTGCTGCATGTCCTTAGTCTGAGGTCTCTCCCTGGCTTTGATGAAATGCGGGTCAGGGCCTGTAGGTGTTAGCTGGGGCTCTCCCTGCAGACTACAGCACTTTCCACACACGGAACAGACTACAGGATGCTGTCAGACATCTGCTGGGAGGGGGGGGGGGGGCGAGC